GTGTCTCAGGCTCTGGAAACCTAGAGCCTCCTTGACTCCCTGGCCTGCATTCCCTGAATCTTCAGAATTTGTTGCCTTGGTACTCCCGTCATTCCAAAAAGTCAAAGCTACACCTGCCCCTAAGTCACCGCTCTAATTTCTTGTTCCACTTCTGTTTCTGCCATTAAAGCCAGACCCACACATTGTGGGATACTGTGCAGTTATAATAATTTACTTCCTGGATTGTCTTGTGTGGACAAGAAAGGATCCTCCTCTCTTCATCTTCCTGTTTTCATTACCTTTTTCTTCCTCAGTCCTCTGAATTTAGTCATTCCTCTTCCCTCAGGTTCTTGACATTTCCCAGAAGTATTAAGTCATGCAAAGGAGCATAGTGGAAACCAGGTAAATGCATAGGTAGAACAACAGATAATGCAGGTTATACAACTGGCAATCTGTGCAAATGCACAAGACCACATAGAGTCATATGTCATTAGGTGCTAGCCCTTCGGAGATAGAGGGATATATACAGCCTTAGGCTGGAGGAAATTCCAGTAAAGAACCTCTTCTTTACACAGAGAGTGATTAAAATATGGAATTTGATGCCAGAGGATGTAGAGAGGGTCAGAGGAATAGCTTTAAAAGGGATTCATGGAGGATAAATCTATTAGTGGCTACTAGCCATGGTGACTGAGAGGAATCTCCATGGTCAGAGCACAAAACCTCTGAATCCCAGTGCCAGAAGGCAACATCAGGGGAAGGTAGCAGCCTCTATGAGTATGACCTGTTGTTGGCCCTCCAGAGGAACTGGTTGGCCACTATGTGAGACAGGGTGCTGGACTAGATGGACCACTGGTCTGAGCCAGCAGGGTTTTTCTTACGCCAGGTAGATTCTCTAGTGTGTACCCTAACATTCCATTGAGCCCACGGAACCTTCCTGCAACTTAAGTGAAAGGAAGAGCTCCTTAAGTTAGGGGAAGGCTTCAAACTTTGCTAAGTGGAATGGTCGATACATGCCAGAGAATCTTCACCTGGTGACTTCGAGGTTCTTTGCTGCATCTCCTGCCTTGAGAGAAATAAGAATCTTTCCAACATTCAAAATTATGAAGAGCTGCCAGGTTTACAACATGAATTTTCCTGTCAATCCCTCTCCTTCCTCAGAAAACACACTCTGCCAATGCTACAGCAGGACCACTTCCTGCCAACACTTTCCCCTTCCTGATCACCCTGCTTTGAGCTCAGTGCCTTGGCTCTGGAGGCGGCAAAAACGCAGTTGCATGCATGCCTGAAACCCACAGTGGTTTTCTGCCCTTTGATCTTGCTATAGCAGGCTGTGTTTGCAAAAAGAACAAGCCAGCCACCTGCAGAATTCCCATGTTGCCAGCAAGATGAATAGAGCTGAGTTTATCGAAGGGTAGGGGGCGACCCAAACAAATGATGTGATTGCACAGCCGATAAATACAGATTCCTGACTGCTGAGATCTCCAGACTCAAAAACCTGGGGCATGCCTCCCTAAATTATCTAAGCTCCTCTAAAAGCAGCATTAAACCCTAATGAAGGTCTCCCACATGCGTGTTCCATAAACATTCCAGGAGGCTTATAAAGTAAGTAAACCATATATTATGTGTTCACTGTGGGAAATACCTCTGTCTTGCTCATGTACCCATGAGCAATACATGGCTGTAATGTACAAAAGCCACTCTCAAAATCTGCAGAACCCAAGAGTTTTGTATAATTGCCCATGTAGGGCACGTCTCTATTAGGTGACATGGTAGCCTTCCCTCACTGCTTCCAATAAGGTGCCCATTTCCCCCCTTCCTGTTGCTAGTGTGTGCTGAACTTGTAGGAACAGCTATCTATATATCTAATTCCCAACTGTGCCCCTGTGTGCGGATACTTATTTCCAGAGACAGGGAACACGTGGAGGGAAAAGAGATTATCCTGCACACGTGGGCCACTTGCCAGGTGTGCAGAAAAATATAAAAACTTTAAAAAACATAAGGGGGAGTTAAAAAACAGCCAAAAAGTAAAACAACGTTCACTGCGGCTCATCTGTCTGTGGGGCTAGCATAAGACCTCAGTGTTTGTATATGTCAGAAAAGGGCTTACAAAATCATATAGCTCCCAGTGATTCATGCCATCCCCCCCAAAAAAATGCACTCCCAAATGCTCCAAGTGACTGGGAAATACTGGCAAGGTCATATCTGGAAAAAGAGACTCTTCCTGACTCTGGCTGGCTGTTACTGGGATTCCAACTCTAGGCTGGGTGCATCTTCTCTCCCAGTAAGAGTAGCAGGAAGTGGTGATGACAACGGGTCATGCAGCAACCAGGTCACACAAGGGTGGAGGCGTGAGCTTGCTGGAACCCGGTGAGAACAAAGAGGAGAACCCAGGCAAAGTCAGCCATTGGGGGGTTTAGTAATAATGCTCTTGGCAACCGCTCTGCACTGGAGTGAGGGATGGGTTTGGGCAGCGGTGGGGGAGGGAACTTCTAGGTGGATTCTCTTTATCCAAACATCCTGTTCCCAAAGGAGCTAAATGCCTCTGTGTGGGAATGGACTGATTTGTGCCTATAGATACATTATCACCTATAGATACATTATCACTCAAAATGGTGCTCCTAATTTTAGGCACAATAAGAGTCTTGCTGTTCTCTCTTTCCTTCACTCTTCCCTCTCTTCACTTTCTCCTTCTTTCACAGGTTTGCTTACATGCATAGAATACAAGTGCCAGACTATGATCTTTGGAAAAGGAAGAAAAAGAGGAGGAGGAGGCAGGCAGGCTGGTAGGTAGGTAGGTAGGTAGGTGACCAGCAATTACAAGTTAAAACAAGTCACAACACATTATGCAACATTTTGATGCGGGTCCCCTCTTGTACCTACCTAATTTACAGAAGCATGTAGCTTTTCTGGGGCTACTTCCTATAGCTCTGTGTAGAGGTGTGAACCCCAGGGGTGAAACACTTTTTTTAACCTAGGATTTATTTTCAATTTTTCCAATGGAAACTTTGGAAATTTAAGGGACCACTGGGGAAAAAATATTTATGAAAGGAAAGGAACAAAACACTTCTTAAGACAAGGGTTTACCCACTCAAAATGTGTAGTATGATGGTTGTACGTAAGACAATCAACAGCATTAGAATATGTTTCTATTTTCAACTTTTGCCATTTCATACTTCTCAGAAAGCAAAAACTAATATATCTGTGCTAAGGTACCATAGCATGCAGCAGGCTGAGGCCTGCTCTGACTCCTATCTCTCATATAGTGGCTTTAAGAAAATCATGACATCTAAAGCAGAGTTACACCCTTCCAAATCTGTGGAAGTCTTAGGAGTCTGCTTAGAATGGCATTGTAAGGCACTTATATTTCTACATTTCATAAACATGCCCCAACTTTATATGCTACATGCTAAAGCAGAAATACGTCTCTGTGTGAGTGTAAGAGTGTGTGTGTGTGAAAGGGGGGGGGAGGGAGAGAGAGAATCAATCCATTTTTTTGAAGATCTCTCTTTCACCTGGCACCAAAATTTCCAAAAATATTGTATCTCTACTTCAGTGTAGCGTTACCAAACTCAAGGTGGTACCTGGAGTTCTCACTGAATGACACCTGATCTCCACACTGCAGAGACCACTTCTCCTTGAGGAAATGGCATCTTTGAAGAGAAGTCTATAGCATCACACCCCCATCAAGCTCCCACCCCTCCAAAACTTTACCCTCTCCTGGCACTGACTGCATCCAAATCTCCAGGAAGCTCCCACGCTGGAGACCTAATCCTAATTGTACACAGGTATGAATCCGTTACTTTTCCTTAATTGGACCAGGCAGGCTGCTTCTTCACCAAGGCCTTCCATCCTGCAATGCCCCTATAGCCTATATCTTCTGAATATATATCCTGTAGCAATCACAGACATTGAGCCCCTTTTCTATGCATCCTGCCTATGTCTTCTGAATATATATCCTGTCGCAATCACAGACATTGAGCCCCTTTTCTAATTATTCATGCAGTCTACACAGAGAGAATAAACTCTGGAGGAGAAGCCGGAGCTTTGTTCCTTAGTTTCACTTTTGTTCTGGAACAGAGAGAACATTAGGAAGTACACGCTGAGTCACTTTAACAATCTGGAAGAGGCAGCAGGGAATCAATCTCCCACAGCAGGTAAATTACCACTATATCTTTCTCAGGAAGATGCCAGAGGGATTTAACAACAAAATGAACTGGGCAACGACTTACTGACAACACAAATAATTTACAATATACTGTCTTTCAGTACACAGTGGTTCTTCTGGACACCTCTTGCAAAAGAATGGGTCTACTTATGTTTGAGGATCAGGATATTATACACAATTAGCAAACTGCCTGACAAATGGTGGGAATGCATATAGAGCTGCTGTCTGGGTTATTGCTCTCTTTTATGTGAAGACGTCCCATCCAATCTTGGTCTCTTTCCTTGAGACTGAGTGCCTTGGTTGCTAGGCACTGAGATGAGAGCAAGGACTGATGTAATGGCTACTTCTGACAAAGTAGCTAGACCATAGCAATATTGGTCCATACAGCTCCTGAAGGTCAGGGCATTTGGAGGAATCCCTCCCATGTGAAAAGATTCCAGTTGTCCCCAAAAAACTTGATTCCCTCCCCCAATCACTTTTCCAATAGTCTCTATCCTGCCCAAGAGGTTCAGGAGGAAAAGGCAATGAAAGAGAAACTGTCTGGCCAAAACTCCCAGTCCTTGAAGTATATAAACAGAATGGCCGTGTTATGTCACAGCACAAAAACTCCACAGATCATCCCAGAATAATAGCATAGCCATAGGTACTCTTTGTACAACTGGCCTCTTAAAGCATGCAGGTGGCCTATGGTATATCAGTACCTTTTAACACAACTCCATGAAGGCTGAAAATGTATACTGTAAACAGAATTAAAAATATAGGAATTTCACATTTTTAAATTCTGGTTTTGAGTCATGTCCAGAAAGCTCTAAGATGACTCTCCGGGAGGCATCCTTAGACACAAGTGTAAACTTACCTACACTAGTAGGGAATATGTCCTCATTGTTGATTTGAACCTCAATCCAGTCCATCAAAAGATTCATATACTGGGGTGCTGGTAGTGCTGTAGGTTTCTTATATTTCAGGTCATCCTGCCACCGGTATTCATATTTCGGGCCACCTGACATCACAGGGCAGGTCCTCTCGGTGCAGAATTCACAGATAGTTCCATAGATGAGGTTGATTCTGTTGAAAAAGTCAACCACGTGAACAGCTACCCAGTCGTTTAGATCTTCTCCGCTGGGCAGCTGCACAGCTGCTTTCAGGTCCACCCCAGAGTTCAATGAGGCCTGTGCTCGTTTGTGGAGCTCAAACCGCTGAGTCCCCGGTTCAAATTTCCGTTTGGGGCGAAAAGTCTTGTCCTTATTAAAAACTTGTTTGAGTGCAATGGACATGTCTCGCAATTGTCAGGTTTCGGGCAGCAAAAAGAAGAGGCACTAGAATGACAGCACGATAGATCCAAAGACGAAGGAGATTTTTGTTGCAGTCGCACTTCATCCACTAGCTCTTCCTGTTGAATGCCTTATCAGGAGATTTCATGTTCCTGAAGGTTCAGAGGGAGAAAAAAACTACATGTTAATGCTGAATAGAATACCCACCAAGCTGTGAAAGACTGTTTTATTTTCAATGTACACGAGGCTGCAGAGCTGTTCTTCCACAGGTGGTGCAGGTGCTACCTCTGGCCCAAAGAACCCCCCTAGCTAGGTTGCCAGGATATGGATTCTTCCCCCGTTAATTGCTGTCCCACTTTTCTTGGCTGTATATTGTGGTTTTTAACTTCACAGTTCCAAAAGGCCACATTTTCATAGTCCAAATACTTACAAGGTGGCTCACAAATAAAAGTACAAGGACTTCCATTCACAGGAAACAAACATCCAGAAAAAAATTAAAGGGACAATAACATTGGGCATCACAGAATTCAACACCAACTGAACCAATCTCGTCAAAGGATTTAAGCCAAGTGCTCATGGTGTTGATAACCCCGGTTTGCTACATCACTTCATACTGTACATGGGAGTTTACGTAAGTGAATGGTCCTCCCTACCTCCCCCCACAACACTCAATACAGAAAACTAGACCAGGAAGAAGGTTTCTACTCTAGCCTTTTCCTTGTCATGCTAGCTTGGGGGTGGGTGGGTTTGATTTTGGTTGGATGAGCATTCAGTTCCACAGTCCAAATACAGGTTTACCTTCTCAGCATCAACTTGCCTTAATCCTTGAAAGATGAAGTGGGACCTTGCCCAAAGAGTCTCCTTAGAAAGGGCACTCAACACCAAGGGTGCCATTAACTGTACTTGCACCCTTGTAGTCCTCAGCCTAGCCTTGGAACGCAGAGTCACTCAGAAGGAGAATTCCATCAGATGAGATCAAGGCATGCAAAAGTTCTTATGGGATCAGATATCCCCTTTATAGAATAGCACATGTGAGAGGGCCCACAAGAATTACAAGAAAATTTCCTACTTGGTGGTCAAGATGGCAGCCTTTAGAAGGAGTATTGCGCCAGTAACACATTGTACCTGGCCAATTCAAATTGACCAACACTGAACTTTCACTCTTTTTCTATTGGCTGTTCCAAGAACAAGTGGCAGTGGTTCTAAGCCATTCTCCTCTTTCCTTGAAGTCAAATCACTGAGGATCCGTGGGTACCATAGCATCTGCAGGCACTTCCCTTGGTGTCCATTGAGCTTTTCAGAATGTGGGTGGGGCCAGTGTATGGGAAGGCTTGCTGTTGGCTGCCCTTATTCATGTGAAAGGACTTTCCATGGTTGCGATAGCGCCCACAGTCACTGGAGGATCAAGAGGACTGGTAAACTGGGATTGAAGTTCCCTTTCTCCTTCAGGCTTTCCTTTCCCCTTCTTTATTCCCACTTCTGTTAATCACCTCCCCCCACCTGAGTTTCCTTCATTTCTTTTTATCCCCCATCTCTTTCTCCCTCCCTCACCATACCAAGGGTATTCTTCATTCATTTCTATTCCCCTTTTTTCCCTTCTTTATTCCCCCTTCTGTTAATCACCTCCCCCCACCTGAGTTTCCTTCATTTCTTTTTATCCCCCATCTCTTTCTCCCTCCCTCACCATACCAAGGGTATTCTTCATTCATTTCTATTCCCCTTTTTTATTCTTTTGCAAAGTGAGGAGGTATTGGGCTCAATTCCACTTCTCGCAGAGGCCATTGTGGGGTGGCACTCATCACTGCCTCCAAATTCCAAATGTTCCTGCAGCTTGAAAATCTAGCTGAATCAACAGAAACTTCAGTTGAATAACAGTCATGGGGTAGTATATGAAAATCAACCCCACACAATCACCTGATTTTGATCAGCCTGAGACTGCATTAACTAAACAGTCATAAATCTGCACTTTTCAAATAACCTTCTATTTCAAGGCCCAACAAGCATTCCTTTCAAAAAATCCTGCTGTCCAATTTTTAAAAGGTTTTCATTCACATTTTTATAGCTTTCTTGGGCAAAGAAAAACAGCAGAATTCTGAAGTTTATCACTTGTTCCCAGAGACCTATCAAAAGAGGCAGCATGAGGGGACAGGAAGGGGGAAAGAAGTGATCTAGGTGAACTTTTCTT